GAGAATTTACAATCAGATCTTGGAGTTAAAGGGTTAACTATATATTCACCGAAACGAATAAAATTAAAATTTACATTGTTGACATGTTTGACAGCTGGTATCTGAATAAACAAGATTAAGTTAGTGGCAAATTCAGTGTCGAATTGATTCCAATCAGCCTACTTTCGAATTGAGCGATCTCGCATCTAAACTCCAGAAAATGAATAACAAAAACAGTTCATGGTCTCTTGATATAAACCTATTGAAAATACCTTCTTTTTCCTGTTTTCTCTTAGCTGCAAGACAGATCGAAACGCAAGCCATCAGTACAAAGATCTTGAGAGACATCTTCAGCTTTTCAGCGAACCTACAAATGATCCAAAGTGTAGTACTGAGTTGATTGCGAGTTCATCGACACGTGACCGGCCAACAACCATCAGTTTTTTAACCATTTCAATCAATCAGCTCATCAGTCACTAGCGGCTATGAAAAACTTTTCTGTTCACAGTTTCAACAATAGCAGCTTGAGTAAGCTTTAGTATAAGGTATAACTTCAAATTAAAGATAAGAAACAGGAAAGTTTCGTGAAAAGAACTGCCATAACTTATATATATTTTCTCGCCTATTTATCTTGCTGAGTGGTTGTTAGATATTGCACACCTTTGAATCTAGCAGATTACAAGAACACTAATCGGCAGAAATATTTTTGTTAGTATGTCCACATAGTATATGTTGGAAGAGCTCTTGAAAACAGGTGCACGGTCTTTTTTTTTCCGTAACGTTACTGGAAATTCCACCCTCAAAAATTTGAAAGGAGCGAATCAAGCTGAAATATGAGACGCTTACATTCAATCGCATAAATTTCTTTCAACAAAGCGCCTAAAACCTTTAGGATACAACAGACTTTGAATGAGGTGTAGTACTCACACGGTATTTTCTGTGCAGTTGAAGTTTGTTAAGTCTTAAAATCTGCAGGCACCTCTTGTAACTTCGGAGTTTTACTCTCAAAAACTATTAGGCATCTGGTTTCGCAAGAGCTCGTCGTGCTTATAACAATACCCGGTTTAAACCCGCTTTCATGACTTCATTTTTGACTGCTTACTTCTCATCACAGAACGGTTCCTAATTCCCTTCGAACATTAACACTATAACAATGGCTAATCAGCACAAACTTCCTCCCTGTAGTAAAAGGCTTCGTGCATACACACCTGTTACTTTGAAATCACCAAGATTGATCACCAGGATTGATTCCTGAAAAAAATGTTCATGAAGATAAGCTGGATGCTGTTGTTTAAATGAGTGTTTGCTTCACCCACTCTTAATTAAATGAACAATTGAATAGAGTTCATGGGCCAGTGAACAAATTCGTTTTTACTTCATTAGAGGACATGAAGGATTGTTAGAGGGTGCTGCCTTGTTTTAATTTGCGGACTAATCCTGTCCTCACCAACCTTCTTAATTGTTTAATTTGTTCTTAAAACACACATTAAAACTCCTGCCATCAATCAGGAGCAAGGAGAGTCTTAGAGGAGGCGTAGACCATTCTCAGAACTAACTCTCTCTTTGAGTATCTGATTTCAAAGGGTTAATCTTCAAAATATAGGTTATGTAAGATCCAAGTGTAACATTTTTTCTATTATTCGTTCTTGCGTAATTTGTTTTTCCTTTGCGTACGCAAATTAGTTTATACTTCTTTTCGTCCATTTGTTTAGTCTTTTTTTTTGGCGTTTATTTAGGTGTTTATTCCTTCCTGTCAGTTTTCGCGCCCTCGTTAGCGTTTCTGTGCTGTTTCATCTTCATTAGCGCCTTTCTAAGTTTCTATAGTTTTATTTTCCGCATGTTCTAGCGTATTTTTCATATCGTAGTTTTGCAGTACAGTTTGGGCAGTTCATTTTGGTCCGCGCTTAGCGCAGTTCTGTTTAGTTTCTTGCAAGTCTCTTCGCGTTATTCGCAGTCCGCTTTAAAGCAGTTTTCTCTGGCCGAAACAATTTTCAACCCACGCTGTTTGTATGCACACTCTTAGTACCAAGCACGTCGGCTACAATAAATCTTCATTCGAATTTGGTTTGTGGTGTTGTTATTAAAGGCCAGGAGACTTACACGCTTATTGCAGTTTCAGGTTATCTAGGAAGATTCTGTACACGGCTCTAAGAAAATAGACCTCATTGTTTCGTATGACATTAATTAGGCGAGAATCTAATTAAAAAGCAGGAACAAACGCCCACAAGGGAATATCCGCTTGATTCCACTCTCCGTACGTTCTACATTTTATCAGTTTGGCTACAGGCGGCCCAAGCTCACGTCTCGAGAAAAAGCCAACGATCAATTCATGAACGCGTCACGCGTTGTGTGACTCGGTGTTAAGTTACGAGAGGAACCGTTGAAAATTTGAACACGTTTTAAGGAATAGTATGGGGAACGAAATATTGTCGATTTACAACGGTAAATATTTCGAAATATGAGTATATTACACGTAAAATCAATAACACTTACTCACATCCTGTGTGTCCGTTGTAGTTTCTGGTGATTTCTTCCGTTTTAAGCTTGCTTTACCATCACTGTTAATCCTGTCAATCATCTCGTCTTTTGAGAAATCGTAACTTAACACCGAGTCACACAACGCGTGACGCGTTCATGAATTAATCGTTGGTTTTTCTCGAGACGTGAGCTTGGGCCGCCTGTGAACCAGCTTGGATTTTGTTGTGTAACTTTTTTCATGGGATATATCATCCAGCAACATAACCTTAAAAGAGAATTGTTATCCAATAATATCATGTGCTCTCCAACACACAGTTTAAGATCTGAATACAAAGATTTGATCAGCAGGGATTTGCTAAAGCAAAGGCATAGAAAAAACCAGGAAAGATTTATTACTCGACGTTTCGGGGTCATCGTGACTCCATTATCAAGAGACTAGTTTAAAAACATGCAAATAAGGAAAGGTACAAGAATAGCATAAATTAGAATGAACGGCTTAAACAAACACCTTGGCGCGGATGGAATCCGTTTGCACGTTCAGTGTTGGCTTACGCATGCGAATATACAACATTTCATTAACAAGGCAATCAAATTTGCCGTTACATTTCGCGATGACGTTGAATTGCTCGATCAAGCGTTCAGGCATTTCACTATTGTGCTGGAGGTGGTAGTGTTTGTAGATAGAAGATGATTTCCTTGTGTGCCCTTCTACGCGCTCGTGTAAGTGACCACGAGTATAGCCCACATACCCTGCATCACACAGGTTACATTTAAATTCATAAACGATACATTGTTGGTTAACAATAGGGGGCTTAATTTCGTGTTGCTTAAGCTGTTGATCGAGCTTAGGGCTAACGAACACTGGTTGGACAGTCACGCTTAACTTCGAGCTTAGACTGTTCAGTTGTTGTTTAACATGATTAGCTGACGACTGGTCCTTGAAGGGTAACACTAATCTCACAATCTCCGATGGTACGTCTGGTGATGGACAGGGCTCTGCAGATGAAATCCTTCTCTCAACGAACCGCTTGATTGTAGTTTCAACCAGTGGCTTTGGGTATTTCAAGTTATGAAAAACCCCTCTAAGGCGGTCACATTCCTCGGAGAAGAAAGACCAGTTAGAAGATAATCGATAAGCGCGATCCACCATGGTGTTAACTAGGCTGCGCTTGTACTTAATGTCAACATGACTCTGGAAATGCAGAAGGAGACCCGTGTTGGTTCTTTTGATGTAGACCTTGCTCTCAATCTTTGGTGCACGGTTAAGCAGTTCAGTTCCTAGAAAGGGAAGGGATCCTTCCCGTTCGACTTCCATAGTAAACTGGATGGAGGGATGGGTAGAGTTAAGGGTGTCTAGAAACTGGCCAGCGGTCACCCTATCAGGCATTACGGTCAGGGTGTCATCGACGTACCTCCGGTAATTGCGCGGAAGTTGACCGTGTTGTTCGAGGTTTTCCTCAATCGAGCACATGAAGACGTTAGCCAGCAACGGTCCAAGGGGAGAACCCATAGCGACTCCATCTGTCTGCTCATATAAAGCACCGTCAAACTGGAAAAGCTGGTTTTTCGTAGCTGCTCGGAGGAGGTCGATTAGGTCCGCTTTAGAGATGTTCAAGCTGTGCGTCTCGTTGAACCAATCCTGGGCAAAGGCTTTTTCAGCTAAGATCTGTATTGTTTCCTCCAATGGTACATTTGTAAACAATGAGGTGACGTCATAGGAAACTAAAATTTCGCCGTTCTTGATCTCGAAGCCTCGTACTTCATCAGCAAAGCGGAATGTGTCTGTCACTGTATATTGGTTGCACGACAGGGGTTTCAATTTGTCGTCAAGCCATTTCGCTAGCGAGTAATTGTAGGTGTTAGTAGCAGAGAGTATTGGCCGCACGGCCAACTGTTCTTTATGTGTCTTCGGCAAGCCATACAAGTGTGCGAGTCTGGACCCTTTCGGGCGGAGAGCGTCAGCAATGGATTTCGGTAGAATCTTTCGAACGAGAGTTTCCAACTCCCTTTCTTTCTGAAGGAGAGGGTGGTAATACTTAGGAGGTCGTCCTCTGGTTCTCGGTCTCTCCGAGTCGACGAATCGGAATTTGCTGGTATCGTTTATTGACGCTTCGGATAGTAGGCGAAGATATTCTGATTTATCCATAACAACAACACCAGACCCTTTATCCGGTTTTGTGACAACGATGTCATCGCGTTTTTTCAGATCTTCAATAGCTTGCAAGAGGGCTTTAGGAGGTTTTGGGCTACTCTTATTAATATACTCTAGCGCAACAGATCGTAAGGTTGCGGCTGCTAGTTCGCGTGAATTCTCGTTTGGTAGATGCCGTTCAAGGTTCCAGTATGCTTTCTCGAAGCTTGCCTTGATCTCAACTGGAGACACTCTTTGTGGGATCGCAAATTTCAGGCCACGACAGAGAACCAATTTTTGGAAGAACGATAGTTCGTAAGAGGAAATATTCAGGATGTGTTCGTCGACGTCAGTTTCTCTGTAGAGAAGCCTTGAGATCTTTATAGATATATTATATAAAGGGTCTGGTGTTGTTGTTATGGATAAATCAGAATATCTTCGCCTACTATCCGAAGCGTCAATAAACGATACCAGCAAATTCCGATTCGTCGACTCGGAGAGACCGAGAACCAGAGGACGACCTCCTAAGTATTACCACCCTCTCCTTCAGAAAGAAAGGGAGTTGGAAACTCTCGTTCGAAAGATTCTACCGAAATCCATTGCTGACGCTCTCCGCCCGAAAGGGTCCAGACTCGCACACTTGTATGGCTTGCCGAAGACACATAAAGAACAGTTGGCCGTGCGGCCAATACTCTCTGCTACTAACACCTACAATTACTCGCTAGCGAAATGGCTTGACGACAAATTGAAACCCCTGTCGTGCAACCAATATACAGTGACAGACACATTCCGCTTTGCTGATGAAGTACGAGGCTTCGAGATCAAGAACGGCGAAATTTTAGTTTCCTATGACGTCACCTCATTGTTTACAAATGTACCATTGGAGGAAACAATACAGATCTTAGCTGAAAAAGCCTTTGCCCAGGATTGGTTCAACGAGACGCACAGCTTGAACATCTCTAAAGCGGACCTAATCGACCTCCTCCGAGCAGCTACGAAAAACCAGCTTTTCCAGTTTGACGGTGCTTTATATGAGCAGACAGATGGAGTCGCTATGGGTTCTCCCCTTGGACCGTTGCTGGCTAACGTCTTCATGTGCTCGATTGAGGAAAACCTCGAACAACACGGTCAACTTCCGCGCTATTACCGGAGGTACGTCGATGACACCCTGACCGTAATGCCTGATAGGGTGACCGCTGGCCAGTTTTTAGACACCCTTAACTCTACCCATCCCTCCCTCCAGTTTACTATGGAAGTCGAACGGGAAGGATCCCTTCCCTTTCTAGGAACTGAACTGCTTAACCGTGCACCAAAGATTGAGAGCAAGGTCTACATCAAAAGAACCAACACGGGTCTCCTTCTGCATTTCCAGAGTCATGTTGACATTAAGTACAAGCGCAGCCTAGTTAACACCATGGTGGATCGCGCTTATCGATTATCTTCTTACTGGTCTTTCTTCTCCGAGGAATGTGACCGCCTTAAAGGGGTTTTTCATAACTTGAAATACCCAAAGCCACTGGTTGAAACTACAATCAAGCGGTTCGTTGAGAGAAGGATTTCATCTGCAGAGCCCTGTCCATCACCAGACGTACCATCGGAGATTGTGAGATTAGTGTTACCCTTCAAGGACCAGTCGTCAGCTAATCATGTTAAACAACAACTGAACAGTCTAAGCTCGAAGTTAAGCGTGACTGTCCAACCAGTGTTCGTTAGCCCTAAGCTCGATCAACAGCTTAAGCAACACGAAATTAAGCCCCCTATTGTTAACCAACAATGTATCGTTTATGAATTTAAATGTAACCTGTGTGATGCAGGGTATGTGGGCTATACTCGTGGTCACTTACACGAGCGCGTAGAAGGGCACACAAGGAAATCATCTTCTATCTACAAACACTACCACCTCCAGCACAATAGTGAAATGCCTGAACGCTTGATCGAGCAATTCAACGTCATCGCGAAATGTAACGGCAAATTTGATTGCCTTGTTAATGAAATGTTGTATATTCGCATGCGTAAGCCAACACTGAACGTGCAAACGGATTCCATCCGCGCCAAGGTGTTTGTTTAAGCCGTTCATTCTAATTTATGCTATTCTTGTACCTTTCCTTATTTGCATGTTTTTAAACTAGTCTCTTGATAATGGAGTCACGATGACCCCGAAACGTCGAATAATAAATCTTTCCTGGTTTTTTGAATACAAAGATACTCGCTAATTTGCGAAGAATTTCAGTAGGGTGTTTGATTGTACAACACATAACCTGTTGGCAGTAAAATTTGGTCTTAGCAGCCTGGCCTTAGTTTCTATATTGTCCGTTTTTTTTAAAGGAAGCCGGCAGAGAGTTCTATGAAATTGATTTGTTGGTGAATGGAGACTTTTAAACGAGGAAAACACCAAGGACAGTGTCAGCGGCCCGCAATTATTTACCATTTTCCTTAACGGACTCTTAACGACCTTGAGGTTTACTTGGCTCGCGCATCTGTGTTATTTACATACGCGAACGATACAAGCATTTTATACCCTGTGTGAAGTGGAAAAGATCCCTCGAAAGGCCTTATCGAACAGTTTCTGGAGTGGTCTAGCCATACTTGGATGCCCTGCAGCCCTAGCAAATTCAAGGGGTTTATTTTTTGAAAGAAGGGATGCTCTAAAGAATTTACACTGGTGTCTAGTGTTCCTCAGAATACCGCTGTCTTTATTTTGGGTATAACCTTTCAGGAGAATAGTAGGTTTACAGTTTATGTTCGAAGGAAGCTCATTAAGTCCAATAAGATCCTTTTTATTTTTATTCTTTGCGAAAGGAAGGTTACAAACAGACAGAGACGGACCGCCATTTCACTAATTTAGTTCTAATTTCTTTATAAGTTGTAATTAAGTTTTCCCCAACATCACATACGTTCTTTTAGTGTATGGC